GCTCTTCTTATTCAGCTGTGAAAGCAAGCATCTATGCCAGCACTGCAATCTTGGAACAGGAGGAGTGGTGTGTCTGTGATCTCTCAGTTGTAACTCTATAAGCCTCACAGCTCTCTTTCTACTCCCCATACGTGCCCAAAGGCTGCTAGGCTTTTCTTTGCTAGGAAATCCACTTGCCACAAGAAGGCAACACAGGGACCGTGCCTAGAACTGAACAGCAAAGGAGATAAGTATTACCATGATGAGTACTTCCCTACAGAAACTGTAACACTATGGGATTCAAAAGCACTCAGAATTAATTATGGCCTCTTTCTAATCACTAAAGAATGACCAGTTCTTGGAAAATGCTACAGGCCCTGAAAGCATTTGGCTGGTTTCACTACTGGCAATGCATTTGCAGTATCCCTCCCACATGATTTTAGTAGCTGATAGATCACACACCACTAGCATTTTTAAAAAATTGAAGCCTGACCCCACTTGAGAGGTGGGATTCCAGGCTTCTTGGGCCTAGAAGTCACAGGGGTCTAAGCACTCATTCTTTTCTTGTTAGCTGCTGGTTAAAACAATGTGGGAGCTGAAGGGCAAAAGAAACCAGGAAGAAATCTCAGTGAAGTTCCTGCTAGAGTTCAGCTAGAAACAAAGCAGGAATTCCAGCTCCCCAGAACATCTGCTTCTTGTCCTGAGAGGTAAGAGAAAAGTGGGAGTTATCCCTGTTACCTGCCTGCAACCCAGCTCCGGTCCAGGACTGAGCAGAGCAAGACCTGGATCTCAAACACCTGTAACTATTAATCCTTGCCTTGATTAACTCTGTAGCTTAGCAAGGCTATGAAGTGCCACTTTTAACAGCAGGGTCTCAGTATAACTAACTAATCTGAAACAATGCCTTGCTAGGAAGGGACTTGGGCAAGCCTCACTGCCTAGAAGAGATGCAGAGAAACACTCTTGGTTCCTTTGGGATGAAAAGAGATACAGAAGTGTAAGGGCACCATGGATTGCCTTATGAGAGTGTTCTATCCTATTTTTGTGCTATTAGCTAGGGCAGAGAGGACCAACTTTTTTGGCAGGCATGCCACAAATTAGACTTGCACCATCCCCAAGTACCACTTCTGACTCCCTTCCTTTACCTGATCTACTGTTTTATTTTCTAATCCCTGCCCTGCACTCCCTGCCTCATTTACTGTTCTGCTTTCTTCTTCCTCCCCTGCACTACCTGCCTGATCTGCTACTTTGCTTTGTTCTCCCTGGTCCCTCTCTGATCTTCCACGTGCCACACGCAGAGGCTACCTTTGCCACTTGTGACACCTGTGCTGCAGGTTGGCTACCATTGAGCTAGGAGACACATGGTTTAGAGTCCTGACCTCTCCAGAACATTAATGCTCTACGAACTCCATTAGTTCCATCTCTCCCATTACCATCCAGCTCCCAATCAGATCCCCAGTACCCACCTCCAGTGTTGGTGATGGTGACAGGTACGCCTTGGACTTGGACGCCATTAATGTTAATAGTCTGCATAGCCTGGGCAGCAGCTGCCAGCTGAGCTGCGTTCAAGCTGATGATGCCCCCAGCAGGAGCAATCTTTGGCAGGGTGCGCTCTTTGCGAGTGGCTGGTTTTTTGCTACTTCCTCCTGTCTGGGAACTGCGGGATACAGGGCTGCTGCAGGTGGTGACAGATGGGGCCACTGTCATGGCTGGGGCTTCTTGGAGCAGCACAGTCTGCAGTTCACCCGATGGTGTTTTGAAATAGATCTGAAGGGAGGGAGAGTCAGGGTTCAGACCAGCCATAGCTTTGTGAGAGTACAGCGATGGTCCCACCAAACCCATGGGGCCAGAGCAATGGCCTTTGAGACCACGATACCCAACGTCATACCTCATTGGAGCAGACTGGACCAGAAGCCTACAATTCATGAGGAGTTAAATGCAATCAACATACCCCTCACATCCAACCTTTTTGGCATTAATATTGTTGTTACCTTCCCAGCATGGTAGCGGCCCTAGATTCCTCAAACTAATTACTCAGTCAAAAGTCAGGAGCAGATTAGGTAAAATCAGAAGAGTCTTGGAAGCATCTATCAAAAGAAAGGCTTCTAATACACTGGAAAGCATCTACGCTGGTTGCTTGCAACATACTAGTGGTATCACCCTCTGTCTGTACAACAGACAGACATAAACCCAAAGCTTCTATTGTGACACATCAAATCACTAAGCTTATGAAATATGGAAATCTGGATAGACTGAAAGGAGAAGTTGCCCAGACATTTCAAGACACAGAACCTCTTGCAGAAAAATCTCTGCTTCATGCAATACCCCTCAGCTGCCCTGCCTTATATATATACACATATGTGCAAATGCGTACACACACGCGTGCACAATGTTGGCACTGAGTCAGTAATCAAAGGTGGAATCTCCCAGACAGTGATGTGTCCACAAGATGCGGTACCTGGGTAGGAGTTGGTTCAGTTGTCTGTATCTGAAAGTTCTGAGAAGACTTCTGAGGGACGGTGGGGAGTGTGGCGGAGGCTGCCTGGACCACTCGCAGGGCCTGCTGGGGAATCTGTACTACCTGCTGCTCTTGCTTGGGTTGGACCACCTGAACCTGCTGGACCATGGCTGGCTGGCCTGAGCCAGGGCTCTGCACGATGAGCAGGTTATTCCCTGCTTGGATGATGTTATCTGCCGTTGTCTCTATCAACACTGTTTCCACTTGCTCAGCCACAGCCATGGCTGTCGTCTGAGCCGGCGACATGGCTTTCTTTCTAGTCTTTTTGCTGGGTTTTGACGGGCTCTCTATTATCTGTGCCTGTGTCCCAGACTCAGAGCTGCTAACCAGGTTGTTCACAGGCAAGGTGAGCGTCACGTTGCTGCCGCTGGTTAACTTGACTACATTGCTTGTGCTCTGCCCTGATGACACCCCTCCCTTGTGTGCTGGAGCAGGCTTGATTGGCACAGGTTTGTGTGCAGAGGAGGAAGGAGCAATGATAGCCTGGTTGGTTCCGGGAATAATCTGAATCTGGTTGGCAAGGTTCTGTTGCACCTGGATGGTCTGGCCCCCTGCAGCCTGTATCTGAGGGACTGTCTGGTACTGGATGTTTGCTGATGACCGGGCCCCTTTGTTGATCATGGTTGGGTTCTGAATGGCAAAAACCAGCTGCCCCCCAGGATATGAGGTCCCAAGCTGAGACCCTTGGATCTGGAAGAGGTTCCCTTTTGACGACAGGATTCCAAGACTGTTCTTACTGGAACCCAGAGGAAGTGGCGCAGGTTTGATTGGGACGAGTTTTCGAGGAGTGGGCTGAGGTGGGGCAGGAGGAGTGACTGCTGCTTCTACTGCTGGAGGACCAATTTTGCTACATGTCGCTGCAAGCAGGGCTAGTGGAGATGGTTGAGAGTCCTGCAAGAACCAAAGGAAATGGGAATGAGAGACGTGCATTGCACCAAGGTATCAGATTCAGATGTCAGGTGAGCTATAAAACAAGCTTTTAAGGTCCCTGTAAAGCTATAAGAACCCTGTAATACTGGTACAACTCCATCCTTTGTGTGAGTTTGTGACTTTAAAGCATTTTATGTGCATTAGCCACACAGATCCTTTTTGAGAGGAGCTGGTATTACCAAACTCATTAAGCAGATGGGGAAAATGAGGCTCAGAGAGGGGAAATTACTTCTTAAAGTCTGCAGAGAGAGTCAGTGGCAGGACTAGGAGATGCAGTGTCCAATGGTGCATTTACAGGACTGGCCTTCCTCCTAAATCAACATCATCCAACTTTGCAGACAAAGGAGAAAGTTCTGCAGGAGACACTTATCCTGAGGGTGCTGGAAAATGAAATGGGCCCATGATCCTAACAGCACAGCCAGTTCCCGCTTTTGTACACACCTGTGCTGTTGATGCAGCAGGCTGCAGGTATTCACTAGGGCTGACTGCAGCCGTAGCAGCCATACTGTCCTCTGAATCTGCAAGAAGGAAACGCACACAGGAAAAAGTGAGACCAATGCTGAAAATAAGAAAGACAACCCTTATGCTTCTGTCACTATCCAGGCCTCATCACTACCCAGGTCTGGCCCCCACACCCAAATATCACATAATGGCTCTGCCTTCTGGCATCTCACAAACTTAGATGTGTCAAGCCCATTCTAGAAGTGCTCAGCACTGACTTAACCAATGGCTCAATTATACAAAGCGGGACTTCTATATTCTCCTCGAATCAGTTATTTTGGCCTTTGCATGTATCTTTGCTAATTTGGGAAGGGAATATGAAGTTGGCATAGTCAGCAAACAGCAGCAACAGACTGTAAGACACAGGGGAAATAGTAAGACACCCCCCCTCCCTCCCAACTCTTTTCTTGTATTTTAGCAGCAGCATCAGAATAGGCTCCTCAGCTGAGAAGTGAGCCTTCTTCTGCTGGGTGCTGTATAATCATTGAGGAAGTGACAGATAATCCCTGCTGTTAAGAGCCTGCTAATCTAAACAGACTGGGAAGACAATGGGTGGGAAGGAAAACAGAGATGTGGAGACTTGTCCCACCTTACACAGCACCTTGGCAGCAGAGATGAGGAGATACCTTGACACCTGCACTTTGTCTAACAGACCTTGCTGCCTCCTACCTGTTGGCTTCTAACCTTGGGAATATTAAATAGGGGTAACATCTCAATAATGAAGGGAAAACCATTCTGGGTTGAGTACTTCAGTGTGGAGCACTTAGAAGACACGGTGTATATAGAAGGTCACCACAGGGAATAAAAAAACTGCTGGAATCACCTTGCTGGTAGTATTAGCCTGGGAAACTGAAAGAACAATGCCACTGTACAAAAGGGCAGGGAGGAAATAACAGCTGCAGACCTTCATGCAAAAGGACCACAAGGCAGGGAGGATGGTTTCAACAGAGCCAGGGCTGAGGCAGGGGAATAATTGGAGTTCGAAAAAGAAGAAAGAATAGTCCAGGGAATGGGATGAGATTGGAATTACAGTGGCAAACATGAAGTGGGGGTGAAGGGGAAGATGGAGCAGGCTCTACCTACTTACAAGTGGCATACTTGAATGCAGCATTTAGAGACTATGCTGATTTCTGTCTTCTAAATTAAGACTGCTGAGTTGCTTTAATTTGCACTGTGTAATAAGTATTTGGGGTCCTAAATACTTGTGTGTTTTCTATTTAAACTGTTTACTCGTTCGGGACTGGCCATCAATGTTTACAAATGGGTCCTGATACAAAAAAAATTGAGAACCACTGGTCTATAGCATGGGTGTCAAACTCATCAGGTCTCATGGGCCTCTGCCCCAGACTGATCTAGAGCACAGCTGGCAGCATGTGCCTGAGACTGGCCTGAAGCACAGCGGCAGCATGCACCCTGGACTAGCCTCCAGAACCATCAGCAATGCCCACCATACTGGCCCCACATTCCCTGTGCAGCATGCAGGGCTGGTCCCGCATGTGCCAAACCTGTGCATAGGTCCAATCCAAGACTCCTGGGCAGCACCTGGGGCCAGACAATAGGGCTCTGAAGGCTAGATATGGCCTGTGGGCCATATCTTTGACACCCCTGCTCTACAGAGTTGGATACAATACTCCTGCTACCTAGCATCCAATCCTGACAAGTACTGTAAAGGCTGGAGGCATCCTGTTTGATAGCCAGGCAGTGAAATGGTTAACAGTTTGCATTTAACAGAGAAAATCTGGCTTCCCCATAAAACACCCTCCTGAGTGCAGTGGGACAAATTCACAGGTTCTCAGTCCGATGGCCTGCATTGTTTTCCAGACTCCAGTGAGACACCAGTGAATGATGAAGGCTATTATTGCAGGCAGGACAGCTAAAAGATTTCTCTTCTAAAGGCTAAAATACAGGGAAGTCAGCGAAAGACCCTTGGAAATGCTTAGAATTTGCAGGATCTTTTGTCCTAGCCTAGAAAGACATTTTGTGCATGACATTTCCTTTGGCAAGTTCCCCAGTCTCCCTCACTCACCATTCTTTGTATGGCTCAATAGCCTGATAATATTTACCTAGACAACATGCCAGGGAGAGCTTTTCTAAGCCCAAACTCTCTGCATTACAATCGCTGAAAGACAACTGATTTGAAAAGGGGAGTTATGGATGCCTGAGGAATATGGATGTTCTGGTAGCTTTTTAAAATATAAAGATTCAAATCCTGGAAGCTGACAAGAAGAGAGTACTGTGATATTTACAGAGATGAACTGGACTGAAGGAGCAATGAGAATGGTTGACAAGGAGCCCAAATTGCACGATCATGAGATTAAACCTCATATGGCTTATAACACAATGTACCAGCCAAAACAATAACTACTGCATAAGCACAGCTAGTAGGTTTTTTGGTGCTCAGCAGGGACCAGTCAAAAAACACAATTTGAAACTGCTAGAAAATAATTTTCTGGACTCCGTGTGGGTTCAAGTTCAGCATGGGCAGAACTTCCATTTTATTGTCTCACTTCTAAAGGGCCCTGCTTGAAGAATTGTAGGGAGGTAAGAGGAGGCAGGAAAGGGGTGCAAAATATAGGGACAATGGTATTCTATCAAACTCCTCTTGCTCAAAAATACAAAGGTATTCGTTAAAGGCTGGGAAGTAGAAGGCAGGGTAGATTTGCACCTTATAGACCAACCAAATTAGATATATATATACAAATATATATCACAAGCACAGACAAATGTCAAGTGGAACAAGTTCCACACTCCAAAGTTCATTCCATACGGTGATAATCTTGAAACCACAAAGTGGCTTCAATAAAACATTTTCATTGGTGGGAGCCCTTTGCAGCCAGCATCCCATCTCAAGGGGACAAAGGCAGTAGTGACCTCAGACATCCACTGTAAGAAATACTGTTGTTGCACCAACCCTAACTCAAAGGGGCATCCACACTAGGGAAGTATGTGGGGTTTTTTATCACGTTAGCTGATGTGTGATAAGAGCTGAGCAAGGAAAAGGCAGCATGTGGCTTCACAAGTTCAAGAAAATCCTCAGAGAGCCTTTGGTTTTCCTCAACAGGCAACTTAAGCAATACACATACACACACAAGATCACTAATGCTTTGTAAAAACAACACACCTTTTTTGCTAGGGAGGACAAGACCTGAAGTGCTTACTGCCCCATAAGCAGGAGATAACTTTGAAGTCCAAGAAGAGAGTCCTATGCATGCCATGGAGGATCCAACTCCTAGCTTATGGGGAAGGGAAGCATCTAGTTCCAGTCTGTTTCACTTTGCTGTTGTGAGCAAAAGCAACCCGTTCACAGTGAAAGGGGATGGGGATTTCCATAGCACAACTTGGGATGACCTCGATATGGGGAGGCAGGTTGTGCTGCAACTTAGCTAGCCAGATCCAAGCACAATGGTGAACGATAGAATAGTATCTGTGTGGTCACAGCCTCTGATCCACAGCAGTTAAACCAGGGCTGTAGTATCCACACTACCCATGAACTGCACCTAATGACCTAAGCAGCAACATGAGGGAAGACACTGTAACTGAAGAGCATGAAACATAACAGCAGGTACTATTTCTATACAACAGGAAACAAGACAAAGGTGTGGCCATGTGGTACACAACAACTCCCCAGCTCTGTCTCCTCAGTTTAAGAAAAAAAGGGCAGTAATACATTACTGAAAGGGAGCCAGGGCTCTGCAGCCCCTAGGTTCCATGTGGCATCAGGTATAGGGATATATCTGGCAGCTCAGACCTAGGTGGATAGATCTTGACTAGTGCATTCTTTCCATGTGCATGGGAAGAGCCACCCATTCAAAGCTACCCCATTGTTCTCCTTCAAATCATTCCTCATAACTCCAAAAAAAATCTGAACACTGGTTAGGCTGAAGCCACTGCTCATTGTGACAACCACGGTCCTGTCACTGTTTCCTTGTACTTCCCTGTTGTTCTGCATCCACCTGTGGTCTCTTGGCTTAGAGATGGCTCACAAACTTTTTTTTGGAGCAGGGACAATCTCTTTGTTCTGCGTTTACACAGTGCTTAGCAGGAGGGGGTGGTGAGGTGAATGCAGACACCTGGCAACTTCATCAAAGTAAGAGTGTTCTATCAATGTGAGGCGTGACCGTAAGAGTCAGCGTATCTCGATGCTTTACTCAACACAGGAGCCAGTCTTTAGATCTTAATATAGCTCCAGGCCAGGAGGGTTATTTATGTATTTCCCAGGCAATGAAACTAATCAAGGAAAATGAACACTTAGTAATGTTGCAATGTCTTCCCTCTCCGTGCTGGACTGGCTGCCCTGTGCTGCCCTGACTGGTCTACAAAAGTAATGTGGGTCACCAGAAACAGAAAACTTCCCTCTGGGCAATGCACAGCCTTTCACTGGGCAGAGAGAGCAGCAAGAAAACTGAGCTATCAGGATGCAAGCCAAGTCGCCAAGGAGTCTGCCTTCCAAAGGCAGGCAGTTGAGCAGGAGGAGGCAGAGTTCAGGTTCCTTTCAAAGCAAGTGAAGACTCTTTCACAGCCTGCCATGACCAAGTGCATAAATCCCCAGTCAGTGTAGAGTCCCAGGAGCCTGGGACATCATTAGATAGAAAATTATTTCCATCAACTCTTATAAAAGAGCAGCCATTCCCTGTAAGTCACTTGCTCTCACTCACTGTGGCGACTTCTTGGAGACCGAAGCATCAGATGTTTGCACCCAGCTAGCTGGCCTTTGATGAAAGGACATGTTCTTCCCAGAAAGCCAGAGGCTTGTACAGCTGCCCAAATTCAATGACTGTACCCTCCTTCCCAGCAGAATTAGGGCACTGCTAAGGATTAAGAGCCCTGACTGCAAATAAGAGCAATATTAAGTGCGCCAAAAATGAGAAAGCAAGAGCAGGAGAGACTGGCAGACAGACAAGGGGGTGGGATCTACTAATCCATTGAAATAAATGATGCTAATAAATGTAGGGAGAAGTTCTCTCTCCCTGAAGCTCAAGTAAACGTCTCACTAACACAGTTTCTGCTTAATGTTTCCTGGCACCAGTTTTATAGTTTGAAGAAGCAGCAAAATATAAACGTATTCACAGGGCAGTACGGCTGCCTAAATCTAGCTACCAATAGCTCAGGTATCAAACCAATACAGACTTTAGGGACAAGATTGTAATTTATTAGAGTATTTGGTTCCTAGCCTATGTTCCCGAGGGCTACCGACCCTTATGACAGGCAGAAGCAGCTACCCTCTGGCAACCTGTCATAATTTGTAAATCGTGTCATTGTCATTAGCTCTGAGCAACCCATTTATTCACCAAGGGGAAGTCGGTGAACAGCTGAGGATCACTCTGTCTTTCTGCAAACCCACAATGACAACTGAGTGCCAAACAAAACTTTTGGTGTTTGAAGGGCACCGATTCATAAACCCAAAATCTCACCAGCCACCCTCTCTGCTTGCCACAAGCACCCTTCCATGCAAAAAATATCTTGCCAGGAGAATACTGAGCCACACAGCCTGAAATGATGCCCACCTTACCCCTTCTTTCTGCTCCACTGAGAGGATGATGAAAGAAGGATATTTTGAAGATTGTTGGCTGGAGCACTGGCTCTTTTATCAAGTTATTAGAACAGATATAATGAGGATTTGTTCCTACCCTGGGATACTAAAATGGGGCACTATGAACTGGTCAGATACCCTGCTTTCTATTTGAAATCTTTAAAAACAGGCAGGCTGATTAAAGTCTCAGAGACCGTGTCAGTTTGTGACATGTCTGGGGACAACCCAAGACTGGAATCTGAACAATCGAGCTGTAGAACAAGAACGAGAAAACTTACCAATCGCGCCAGGAAATGAGAACCCATTTCCAGCCAGTAGTAATGCCTGTTAGCAGCCAGCTGGAACATTCGCACCAGCACGATTGGTAGGCTTTTTCAGAGGCGGCTCCTTCACTTGTCACAAGAATTTACTTATTTTGAAACTGTGCCATTATCTTCAATAGTCTATAAGAAATATAAAGCGAAGAGTTGTTTTTCTTTCTTCCTAACCATAATTAGCTCTCTATCAGGGAGCTTTCCTCTAATCCAATGATTCTCAAACTGGTTTAGGCAGCCCACATTAGACTCAAAGCCCCTCTTAAGAAAATGTGAGCTCTTATTAGTTTTAACTTGCTTTTTAAGTACAGAAAAATCACAGAGCAATTCTCCTATTGCAAGGAGGTCAGAAAGCTTACAACAGGTCAGAATGGTTTTGACCCTATGGATTCCTATTGGCAATCTCTGGGTTTATCTTGTGTATCATGTATGTGTTTGCCCACCTAACAGTGCTAATACAGGTACTCCTCACTTAACGACCTACCTGTTTAACCGTGCGGACTTACGACCAGCTCTCCGTAGAGTCGTAGAGCTGGTCGGCAGCGCGGCGTCTCAGCGTCAAGCTGAGGGGGACGTGGAGCTGAGCCCAGCACCCTCCAGCTGGCTCCGCGAACCCACGAGGGGGGAGAACCACCCCCCCGGAGGGCGGCGGCCAGGACTCACCGCCATGGCCAGCGCCTTCCCGTCCCCGGCTGTTTCCCTAGGGGCCGACTGTGGTCGGTAAGGGGCGGCTCCTCGCTTATCGACCAATTCGCTTAACGACCAAGTCGTAGGAACAGAACTCGGTCGTTAAGTGAGGAGTGCCTGTATTGCAGAGTATTTTGCAGCAAATCAGTATTGTAACACTCTGGCTGAGAATCACTGCTCTAGATCTACAACTTCCATTGCAGCAGGAAAAACCTGTGACAGAAGGGCAAATGCTTGTAAAAGGCAGCTCTTGATTCTCAGTATCAAAACATGTCCCACATCCTGCTATCTGACAAGCATGGGCAGATTCCTTCCTTCACAAAGATATGGTGCCCCATTTCAGTGGCGCATTGTGAAGCTGTCACTGATCTAGTTAACTAAGGTACCTATCTAGCACCATTACTGTAGTGTTTGAAATGCCTCGTAATCTTGACTATAGCTATTCTCACAACCTCTCTGTGAATTAAAGAGGCACTGTCTCAATTTGATAGATGCGGCAGAGAAAAGCTGAATGACTTGAACCAGGTCATACTGGAAGTTTGTGGCACAGTTTTGACCCCACGTTGGTACCCTAATGCCTGGAAAGTCCTTTCTACCTGCCTAGAGCTGACTAAAGCCAAATCAGACCACTGATTTAGGTATCATAGTCCCATTCCTAATGGGGACAAAAACCAAGAAAGAAAATGATATTAAACTGTCTCACAGTCAAACAACTGAAGGATAGCAGAAGAACCTCTCTCTCTTACAGTGTCAGAAAGACAATTTTACTGAGGTCAGACAGCAGATTCAGAAACTCAGAAAGATCAATTAAAACCACAAGTCAATGCAGGGAGAAATCCTTTTTATTACTCAGATGATACCCTCTAGAATGGTTATTTATTTTTTGCTTCATGCCAACAAGATACTCAGTACTATATATACTTCAGTAGTAAGAACACTGTTTGTGAGCAGAGATCTGGCTCTACATTTTGAGGGGCACAATTTAGGCTTGACACGAAAAAGGGGTCATGGCCAGATGGCAGGGGGAAGCAGCAGCAGCAGGGAACTTCACGTGTGTTCCAGCCTGACTGATGGGGAGAAGTGGCAGTGGCAGCTGGCAGGTCCTAGTACAAGCCTGCGTCAGACCCGAGCTGCCCTGCCAGTAAAAAAACAATACCAACTACTGCCTTATACTATTAACACTTTTAAAAAGTTACAGAAAAATAATTTTCCTGTGTGTTTATGTTGCATGCATGGAAGGATGCATATTTTATTTTCACTCTTTTCCTATGCAGGCAACTGGCAGAGGAGAAACAAAACTGACAGACACCAGGGCCTAAAGGGACCGCTACAATCAATTACTGTGACGTCCTGCATAACACAAGTGGTTTCTCCATCAAGCCCTAATTTCTAGTTGAGCTGCAGCATCTCTTTGAGAAAGATATCCAGCCTGGATTCATTAAAGACTTAAAAGCAATGGAGAGTTCACCACAACCCTAGGTAAGTTGTTCCAAAGGCTCATTAATCCTCACTGCAAAGACGCATTCTCTTCACTCTGACCTATTACTTATCCTTTACTGCTAGTTTTATTAATGAATAGACCTCTATCAATATCCCCAAAGGACACAGAAAAGCCTGCCCACTTCTATACATGTGAAACTTCAGGGATTCACAGAGGATTACAAAGAAAAATAGATTATCCATTTGAAAGCCCCCATCCCTTGAATACTCTCACAATCAGGGGTGTCAGACTCATCTGGCTCTGTGGGGGAAAGGACTGACATGGGGCTGCTCCACGCCCACGCACTTGCTCCATGTTCCAGACCCAGCGTGTCCTGGAGTGACTGGAGTGGGCACCACATTCATCCGGTCCTGCTCCACCTGCTCCTGGCTGGGAGGACTCCCAGGGACTGCGGGGCCACTTTCCTGTCCCTCATCCATGCACATCTCCGGGCAGTGTCCACCAACTCCTTGGACTTGTTCAATGACCAGTGGGCACTGTCTGCTGTGCTATGCTCAGCGTCCCTTTGGTGTGCTTGTTATGAACTAAAACCCTCACTCCTGTCCGTTTTGTTTTTATTTGTCCCAAGTAATCAGTGATACGCCCTTAGCAGCTCCCACCGCCAAGACGGGGTTCATAGCTGTCTGTGGTGGGCTCAGGCCCCCGGTCCCAAAGGCCTGCTCCAGTGACTCCTGGACTTGCTACCTGGAGCCACGGGTACCTGCTACTCACTCCCAGAGCCAGGGGCAGCCCTGGGGCCAGGCCGGGCAGGGCTCCACCTCCCACCCCCTGCTAGAGACGGCTGGAAGGAGTCGGTGAGCAGCCGGTGGCCCCGGCTCCTCTCGGAGCTACAGCCGCGCTGGCTCCCGGTGCCCCGCAACTCCTCGCACCGGGGTCACCGTGCTGGCAGGGCAGGGCTGCACCGCGCCTGGGGCCCCTCCCCACCCCGGGGGGCCGGGAGGGGCAGGCTGCCCCACCCTGTGCCCATGCAGG